GTTCAGCAGCGAGGAGGCGGACGGGACAGGCGGCCTGGCCTGGCAGGTTCGCCGGCAGAAGCCGTGGGTGTAGGAAGCCCGCGCCCGGTCAGGAGATCGCACGCGCTCCGCGCTGGCCTTGTCACAGCCCGGGGACTTGCGCGTCACTGACAAGTGTCTGGTCCTGTTGAAAGCACCAGGCGGGCGGTGGAGACGGCGGCTACCCAGAGTTTCTACAAGATGAGGGAGGCAGAGGTGAGCGGCGCGGAGCCGGAGCCAAGGCAGGTATGTCCGTAACCTCTTCACCAAATTATGAATCTTATTATCACTGCGACTTAGGAGATCTAGAGGAGGACGTTCACGAGTTTTGATCCCTTTTGTCAGGTCACGGTGGAGCCTGAAGGGGCCAGCCTAGCCTGGATTGAAAGGGTTATTTCAGAGAAGAGTGGGGCCGACTGGACGGCTCAGGCCCAGATGGTCTTCATCTAATTGGTCACGTGTAGAAAGGTCAGCAGTGACGACTGAAGGTTGGGGTAAAAGCTCTGAAAAATCTCCCTCGTGTGGTGACCAGGGAGAGATTAAGTCATAAGAACTGACACGTATCGGGCGTCCGCAATACCCCAGGACTCTTGTGAGGGCTTCGCGCGCGTGTCTTGTTCATCTCGCCCATCAGTCCTGTGATACGCTCGATTTGTTTCTGCTTTTATACGTGAGGACGTGGGAGTAAAAAGATTTAAAAAAAAATACGCATATACTTATTAGGTGGTAGTTTTGGAATATAAGCTTACTCCAAAGCCTGAGCTTTAAAATATATTTGATTGTCTGAAATCAAGAAGTAAGTGAGGAAAAAATAATAAGATTCCAGCTGTAATTTCTTGATCTTACTTATATTATTTATATAGTATAAAATTGTCATGGTCCCGTTTTCTCATGTATGACGCTTTCTTCAAAATAATTTGGCCTGGCTGGGAATAACAGGAAAGAAAGAACGCTGAGGAGGTAACACAGGGTTAAGATTAGCCATGGAAACCCAGTAGGTGGTTGGAGACCACAAAGTCAATGATTATGAACATAGCAGCATTTCTGGTCCATGTGATAGGAATGATGTGAAGATTGTGGAACCTTAAAAAATAGTAGTTACTATGTCAGTGTAAAAGTCTTGTTTCTCCTAAATTTTACAGAATTTTATCTAAATAGATACCATGTATTCTAATTTTGTTACCACTCCCACTGTGCCTGCCATTGCCACCTCCCATAGTGCTCTGCACAGAGCAGAATGTAGTGAGGACTTGTTGCAGTGAATTTTTATCTAAATGCATGCTATTTTCCCACCCTCCTGTAACTACAGTTTATCAGAGTAATTATAAGTCATTTTAATTTTTCGATGTTGAGGAGAGGATAATTGTACCCAAATATAATAATTGTTTTCATTACAGTTTAAATTTTCAGGTTGCTTGTATGTTACTTATAAAAATGCTCATAGAAAAATGTAGGAACTGTAAACATATAAATTAATACAGTTTCTATTTACTATTTCAGTTACAGATTATCTGAATTATAAACCTCTTTCTGTATTGACTACCTACCCCTCATCACACGTATAAACAACCTTTGCACCATATTCAAACTTAGTTCCTTCTGCAAGATGGAAAGAACCAAAGGAAGTGTCTCCAGGATGTCCACAGGGCTTTTCTAAAATGAATGAAAGGGATATAATATTAGTTATTAGCATGGGGATGCAATTTACATAGGGGTTCAAGGACACAGATGTTTGATATTACATTAGACGACAGAATTGAAAATATGGAAAAGTGACAAATGGCAAAGTTATCTGTATGCTTTTTTTTTTTAATTTTGGAAGATTACAGACCCTTTTTAAGAATAATGAGGATGTACTGTTTTGTATTTAAATGACAACAGTGATGAAATTAAGCCAGTATTGCTACAATATCACTCAGTATTCTCACAACTAATATTTTTCATAGATTTCACAAATGTAGGCATTACTTACTCTGACATATCCTTGACGGATGAAGAGACACCCATTTCCCACCCCTGCACACCATGACAATACTCCCAAGGGTTCTGTATCCAGGATGGCATTTGTATGTCGCCTGAGTGCCTTCTTGGTATGTTTGTGCAGTCCAGGAACCTGACAGAATTTCTGTTTGCTTTCTTGGAGGGGGTTCTGTACAATCTAGAAAAAAATGAAAACAAAGTAGGTGTTTAAATAACTATTTAAATATATAATATGTTTAGGTTATTTTTGCTTAAAAAACCCCTATTCAAGTCCATCCAAATGTATGTCTTAGTACATATAAAATATATATTTTACCTTACAGAAATTAAATCTACATAGATTTGTAAGAATGACTTTACAGATAAATAGTTCTGCTTCACTCTATTATTCTTAACTGCTGCACTACAGTCTACTGTTCTCTCATTAATTCAGAAAATATTTGTTGGGCACTATTCCAAGTTCTGAAGAAAAAACAATGAATAAGGAGACAAAGTATCTGCTCTCAAAATGTTTTCACTCTAGTGAGGAAGTTAGTTATTAAATAAATATTCAAAGAAATGTATAATGTGCATTACAGGTAGGTAAATTCTATTTAGAAAAATAAAGCATGGGAAGATGATACACAATTATGTAGGAACATTCCAAATAGGGTAGAATGGAGTGGAACAGAGCAGCTCCTCCTGCAGGTTGGAAAAACAGCAGCAAATTGCATGTGGGGAGAGGGGGCTGTGGGTGCACTGCACGTTGAAAGGAATTGGAAATGGTGGGAGCAAAGAGGATGAAGTGAGCTGGGAAGGACCTGTTTTTTGCAAATATATTGTCTCTGGCTGTTTCTTACCTGGATATGTTACCAACTCAGTGTAGACTGAAGCTTGGGGTTTGTCTGGATACAGGAATGTTAAGGAGGGAAGGAAGAACCAGACAAACTTTTGGAGGTGCATCTAATGTGAAACATTCTAAAACTTTGCAGAATCAGAGTGCTTTGCTGGAGCCGAAGTAGCTTCCTAAGGGTGGACTGAAATTTCCTATAGTCTCATGAAAAAGTTCTAGGAAGAAAAAGGGCTACTTCATGCACACAGCTGGTATCCTAATCAAGACATGTGCCACATTTGAAAGTCCCTCAGGGCGAGATTTAAAAACAGAGGTCAAAACAGCAGAGGAGCAAGATCATGCTATCCTTGAGTTTGGCATGGAGGAAAAAGAAACCAGTGAGATTCTTGATAAAAAGCTCAAGAATGTCTCCGCCTGGACACTTTGGAAACCTGAAGTGGACTCACTCAAACAGCAGGTGCAGCCTAGCCCCATCTGAACCCAGTTCCTGACTGGATCAAGAAGGAGTGCTCATGTCAGTGGTGGTAAGTAATACAAACTTTATCATCACATTTATTTCATACAAAATGTATTGCTTTGGACAAAAATGAGGAGACGCTCAGAGAAGCAGAAAAATGTGATCAGAAATAAATTTACCTAGTAAAGAAATGAAATGAAATCTAAAGCAAGTAGAAAGCAGTAGATAAAAATGCTGAGAGCACGATTCACGCTGCAGATCCTCAGCGACAACCAGGGTGTCTAAGCTGCAGGTGTCTAGGCCCTTGGCGGCCCTCCACAAGGTGACCTGTGCTTGCACCAGCTCTCATCCCTCGTGCATAGAAGCACCCCCTGGGGTGGCTGAGCCCTCAGAAGTGACGACTGGGCGTCTGAAATCCTCACCAGGCGTGTGCTGTGCCGGCTGCTACACTCCCTACTCTGTGCTGCCTCCTGAAGTCGGGTACCCTTGGCACTGAGGGGGTCAGCTCTAGAGTGTGAATCTGACTGACAGTCTCAGATCAAAACCACTGGAGATGAAATGGAATAAAGTTGAATCCTTACTCTTTTCAGAAAACTGTGACTAAATATCAAAGACACAACTTTAGTGAATAAAGGAAATTGTAAAAAGAGTATACACACATTAGAATATTTTTAATATTCCATTTATGAAATTTAAAAAATTCTATTTATGAAAATATAATCTATGCAAAATTCAAAGGAAAATTAACTGCAAAGTTATTTTCCACACAATAGCACTTCTTGCAATAACAAAAGCATGAGCACTACCAAAGGGACAATATCAAAGGATAATAGATGATTTTCTTAAAAATGGCCAATAATTTAACATTACTAAAAATCAAAGACATGAAAATTCAATGTAAATGACATTTTTTGACAGATTTCAATAACAAACATATAAAGGAGATGACACTCAATGTTGTAGAAAATAAAGTGATACAAATACTATGATTAAGTGAAATTAGAGGTATAAAGGACTATAATCTTAATAGAAAGCAGTTTGGTGATATTTATAAAGAATCTTAAAACTACTCATGTAAATTAGCAAATAATTTCAATCTGAAAAGAGGTATCCTAAGGCAATAATAAAAGGTCAACTGAGATATTTGTGTCCCAGATGTTTACTCCCAGTATTTTTTATATTAAAATATTAATCTTATCAAATTGTGGTACAGTCATCTGAGGAAACATTTTCTGGGTTTTAAGCATGTGTTTTGGGGAGTACTTAATAATGCGGGCAAGTAGTAACATGAGACCAAGGCAGGTGGTGGCATGGACTTTCTGCCTCTAGAGAACTTGCATTAGATCGGGGATCAGAATGGTTAGATTCAAAGCTGACATTTCAACAGCAATAGCAGAAGCCGGAAGCCGTGAACTGGTCCCTCCAGTTTGCATAAAGCAGTAACCATCTACCTGGAATTCTGTTCGAAGAAACAATTTTTCAAGATTCAAGATTCTGATTAATAAAATCTGAGAGATTTTGCTGTTACAGATTCCCATTAAAGGGAAACAGAGATGTACTTCAGTAAAAGGAAAATGATCCCAGGCATGTGGTTTGTGATGAGAGAAGAAACAAAGAACAAAGAAAGTAGT